CCCCAAAACCCCAAAACCCCAGGGATAAAATTGTCATACAATTGGTGACAAATGACAATAAAATATTAAATATATAAAATATGCTATAAACTATTGGGCTTTTAATGGTGATATATTGGTCTATCTCCTATATCTTCCTCAAGTACCCACTCTTGTTGCACCAGAAGAAAAATAAACTCAAGCTACCTCCTAAGAAGGATGATCATTCTCATTATATCTTGGCCCATCGAGGTGGATCAGTTGAAAATCCGGAAAACACTCTATAGGCTTTTAAACATGCTGTATGAATTAGATATTTCTCAATATAAATTTTATTATAGTTAGAACAAGGTGTGCAGTTCTTAGAAACAGATCTTAGATTGACTAAGGATGGAATCTTGATGACATTACATGATGATAACTTTAATAGACTATCAAATGTAAATAAAAAAGTAGAGGAGATGAATTACAAAGATTAGCCTAAGATATTAGATGAGATACCTATGCATTTCACAAAAGATTACAAATTAAAGCTAACTGAAAAGCATGATAAATCATTCACTACTTTGGAGCAATTATTTTCATCTATACCCTCTGAGATTGTAGTGTAGATAGAATTAAAAGACTAAGATAACTTTGAATAACATAGAAAAACGGTTGAACTAATTTAGAAATATAAAAGATAAGCCACTACAATTATCGGAGTATAAAAAGATGTATTTAATAGATAGCTCCATTCCCTTGATCCCTCAATTCCAAAGTTTGTCTCAATGTCAAACGCAATAAAATACCTGGGAGCCTATGTAGTTGGATTATTACCTTTCATTGATATATACGAGGATGTAGCTTCATTGCCATTTATGACTAGAGACTTCCATAAGATGAGAATTAATGAATCTCAGTCATTTACAAAATATTTCTTTATCTATGGAGTAAAGTTTTTCAATATTGTTAGTGAGCCTTTCCTCAGACATCTTAATGCTCGTGGTATTTTCACTAACTACTGGGTCTTGAATGAAGAAGATGAATTTTAATACCTAACAAACTCTTGTGTGCAAGGAATAATGACTGATAAACCATCAATGGCTGTTAGAATTTTAAAGGAAAACAGTATGAAGCACTAGAAGAAATAATAATGAGAAAAAACTTTTTATTTAGCAAATTCTTGATTTTATAATTCATCAAATTATTGTATCAAGGGGTTTTGGGGTTTTGGGG